GCAAAAAAGATATCAATGAATGCTATGGGACGGAAAGAAAAGGGACATTACCTCTGAGCTATCGAGCTTCTCGAGAAAGTATGTATAAGGAAGTTTAGGGCGATATCTCCACCATCTCTTGGATATCCACTTTGCTCTAGTCCCTCGTGTATCTGAAACCTTCTCTGTCACATCCCTGCGCAGACTTTCTTCAACTTCTTTCATATCAAATTCGACAACATATTTCGCATTGACAGAATCTGATTGCTCTGATAATTTCTCCTTCTCAAGGATATCCTTCCATCTACTTAGTCTATCACGCCACGAGGCGCTGATTTCGCTAACATCCTCTGCCAAGGAAAGATGGAGTTGATGATTAGATGATAGAAAACAACATAGTAGTAAAGCACTGACAAGATGCATTGGTAAGCCAAGCGTGTCATTGTGTCAGATAATTTGCACAATTTGCATTAATGTGAGGCTGACGTGAGCTTAAAAAGGGGGTACAGTGACAGTTCCACAAGAAGCAGTTTAAATATTGTTCCATGCTGGTGAGGGAAAATTGAGCTTCATGATTGGGTTGAGCAGACGAAAGAAGAGATTTCAGAGTGATATGACCAACACGAATACAAAAAATTATATTGAAGCAAACAATCTATCAATGATAATCAACTTGATCATTCACCTAAACCACAACTGATCATATGAAGATTGTCTCCAAGGGGTACAAAATCCGTCCAGCCATTGCAGTGATGAGGAAAGAAAGCTACATAAAGTATAAAAGAATTCTTCCAAATCCCCCACTGAATAAATCTATTTAAGTGAAGCACATCCTTTTCACCATAATAACTTCAACAATACCAGAAAACAGTTTATATAATAACAGAATGCTCTGTATTTTGATGGGGACAAAAACTAGTACCCTCACTGACGGTTACCGAATAAAACAACATGCCTTTTGAAGCCAAATTATATGGGTAATGCAGAAGACATGTAAAGAGTGAATAACCTTGAATTCCCAATTCTTGCCTTATTTCCTTCTTTTCACTTGCTTTTAACTGAACATTATTGTTGATAATTTCTTTCATATTCTCCTCCAAAAGCTCAGTTTCATCATTCCATGCATCTTCTCCAACAAAAGAATGATCAGGGATGAGTGTTCCATCAGGTGCCTCAATGAACTTTTTCATTCTGAGACCTTTGGGTGTTGTTTTCCTCCATACGCTCTTCGTAAACCTGATATAAGGGGAAAGATTAGCTGCTCTAATTTGTATAGACATGTCAGCCCTCTCATAAAGGATTTGGACATTGATGCTAAAGTTCTTCCAAGACCTGGTTTTGGAAATTAATCATTATCTAAATCAAGTAAAACTGAGGAAACAGATGCTTCTTTTACTAATCTTAAACTCGTAATTTCAACAATGATAGCATCCTCACATCTCAACGTGACTTTGCCAAGGCAGTGACGACGAGAATAGTGGACTAAATCTGAAATCCACTTTCACGAGATCCTCAGAAAAGTAGGGGACAGAGCGATCAGTTAACAAAAGTTACTTATTACTTTACTGAAAGTGATGAGTTCCTATTCAATCATTCAACAAACACATCCGTCTAGTCTCATCGAAGACCTTAATTTCCTGCGACATACAAAAGGATAAGGGAAAAAGCGCCAAAAGTAGTAGACAACCTTGAAGAGGAGTGAGGCAAAGACATTGCAGCTAGCATCCTGGACATAAGTCCAAAGTGCAAGCACCAAGCATGCACCAATACGTGATTCTTTCACTTACTCAACTATGTTGAGGCACGATTCAAGAAATAGAATTCAAGCACAGAAAGGCCTTTTCGTGCCCCTTCAGTCGTATCTAGAAATGAACGGAACCTACTTTCTGACGTTGCTAGGAGATGGCTCGGGAATCAACGCCTCCATATAAGCCTCGGTTAATTGCCTTCGCTGACGGTCTAGGGCAGGGGCTCGTATTGCTACATATACTCTTTGACAGGAAACTACCACGACGAGAGTATATAGGACAAGGGCCGCAACACGCTTGGGATCCCAGCTCTCCAAGTCCTGAGACAGATAGATGGTTCACGCAATCGATCATCAAGAATCCCCAAGCATACAACGGAGAGAAAGAATTCACTTGCATACAGGGAAAACATCTCCATGTCATCATGTACAGATACACGACTCGAGGCTTAGCTTGTAAATGACAGAACATCATGACATGCGAGCAGAAAGAGATGAAAGATTGAGATGCAAAGTAACCATAGCCACTGGAAGTTCTACTGCACCAAAACGCCTTGGACGCTAGAGCGACATTTCTATACGGGATCGGAGAGCCTGCAAAGGCCATACCCAGACACAATTCCAGCATTACCTTCCAACGCTCCCACCGATTCCAATCGAGGAACGCGGGCAGCAATTCGGACCGAAGCCGAGCCGCGGCGGCCTCGTTCAGCTTAGCTCGCTCCTTAACCGACGCGGCCAGCTCGCGCAGCTTGGCATTGGCGTCGTCCACGTCGAAACCGGTCTCCTTCTTGACAGCGGCGCCGAAGTCGAGCCAGAACCGATGGGAGCCGCGTCGGATCGAGCGGGAGAGGCGCTGCCAGGGGAGTCCACCAGGCGGAGGGCCGGGGCCGGAAGACGCGCGGGCGAGGAAGGGGCGTCGACGGCGGGAGCGGTGGGGAGGGAGCAAGAAAGGAAGCGGAGGGGAAGGAGAAGGAGAGAGGAGGGGATTCGGAGAGGGAAGGAAAGCGAGCTCCATTGCGTGTTCTTGGGTTGGGGAGAGAGAGCGGGGGAGACGAAGAAGAAGAAGACGGAGAGGCGGTGGTGGTTTTATCAGAGGTTTATCAGTCTATCACTCTCTCTCTCTTCCCTCCTGCGTTGCGCCGGCGATGGGTTTTTCGACCCGATACCCGAATGGGGCTCCCTTCATTTGCAATTGGATAAGTGCGTTAAAAGGCTTAAAATTTATTATCAAAATATAATTGAATTCTAAAATTTAAAAAAAGTGCAATAAAGTCGTAAAATTTATCACAAAGTGTAATTGAGTTCTAAAATTTTCAAAAAGTGCAATAAAGTCCTAAAACTTGTCACAAAGTGCAATTGAGTCCTAAAATTTTTAAAAAGTACAATCAAAAGAAGAATTTAATTGGACTAACTTGATAAGTTTTAGGACTTGATTGCACTTTTTAAAAGTTTTAGGACTCAATTGCACTTTCGCAACAAGTTTTAGAACTCAATTGCACTTTTTGAAAGTTTTAGGACTTGATTACACTTTCATGACAAGTTTTAGGATTTTATTGCACTTTTTAAAAATTTTAGGACTCAATTGCACTTTCGTGACAAATTTTAGGACTTCCAATGCACTTATCCCTTTGCAATTTGATAGATTTTCGTTTCTTAATTCATCATCACTAATAACGGGTGAGCAAGATGGATCGCCCAAACCAGGATCGGACCAAACCGGACCGACCGGTTTGGTTCGATTCTCGGGAATATTGATCTGGTTCCCGATTCCTAAAAGTGGAACTGATTTCTGGGCGGTCTGGTTCTCGATTCTAGGATGGGAATCGGATCGGACCGGACCGATAAATATATATTTTTCTAATTTTTTCATATATGTAATATTTAATATATATATATGAAAAATATTTAATATTTGTCCCATTGAAACTGATTGTTTAATTTTTTATATATTATATATATTTTTATAATTTTTTCCATAACCTTATGGGATCAAATCAGAACTACAAAGGAAAGAACGAAACAATCGATTCCCGGTTTACAAATAATATTTAATATTAGTCCCATTGAAGCCGGTCCACGGTCCCAAGACTAGCCGGTCCAGTCTCCAGTCCTAGAAACTGGGAACCGGTCCTTCCGGCCGGTTGCCGGTTCTTGGATTGGATCGGACCAGACCAGGAACCGCTCACCCCTAATCACTAATAAAAAAAAAGTTAATACCATGAAAAAATTCCAATCTGATATAATTAACACAAATTTGCTCCAAACTAATTTTTTGACCATAAAAAACCCCAAACGGGTGCATTCACGATAAATTTATTCTAAATCCCAAACCGGTACATTGTGATAAATTTACCATCCGTTAATTAATTTCCCTTAAATTAGATTAATACCATGAAAATCACAAATCAGAGAGGGGTAAAATGTTAAACCAGTACAACTTTCAACCGTTACATGTCATCCAACTCAACAATTTAACGGTAAAATTTAACAGAAATTAACAGAAGGTAAATTTGTCATAAGTGAATCAATTTTGGATTTTTTGTGGTCAAAAAATTAGTTTTGAGTAAATTTATCATATGTATATCATATTGGAATTTTTTTCATGAAACTAACCCTTAAAAAATGCTAACTTCATGTTGCTTATACCAAAAAAGCTAATTAAACACAATGAGATCGGGTTTCGTGCGTGTATCTAATCGTCGAGGTAAAATTGAACGAAGGACGACCCTGTTATAATCCGTCCGAACTTGATAAACTTCGCCTTTTTTATTCAATTTCATCAATGTAAATGAGATCTCTTTTTTCCACCGATTGAGTAGACTTTGGTGGGGGGTATATGTCGATTCCTATGCAATGTAACAAATGAAGATAATGACTTTAACAAATGAAATGATGCGAGACATAAACCTTTGGGAATATGCTTTTATTCCCATAGTTTTGGTGCAACAAACCTTCTTCCAGATTTCCACATGCATCCATCCACCTTATGTTGTTTTTGCTCATCCAAAGGGCTTTTATAGAAAACTTTAGGCCCATCCATCCATCGCTCGCATTTGCTGTGGGCAGCGACCACCGTTCTAGAACTCTTTTACATTGTGGCTTGGATCAAAAGCCACAACTCACGTGACATCCTCCTCCTCCTGCTCTCCTCCTCTTTTTTTATTTATAGCCACTTCGTTGGTTCAATCTTTCATCGTCGTTGTGTCTCTGCTCGATCTCCTTTCTCCTCCGGTTCTCTACCTTATTCCCAATCCATCCACCCATCCTTCCTTCCTTCACCGGTGAGGTTCTCCCCTCGATAGCTTCCCCCGCGCTCCTTAGTCCCTAGCTCGCTCCATCTCTCGAGTATCTTCTTTTTTCTTTCGGTTCTTGACTGGTTGGGGCCTTGCGTGCGCAGGAATCTCGATCTGCAGATATGGCGACGAAGAAGAGCGTCGGATCTCTCCAGGAGTCCGATTTGAAAGGCAAGAGGGTGTTCGTCAGGGTCGATCTCAACGTCCCCCTCGACGACTCCTTCCACATCACCGACGACACCCGGGTTCGCGCCGCTGTTCCCACCATCAAGTTCTTGATGGGTCACGGCGCTATCGTCATCCTCGCCTCTCACTTGGTATCCCCCCTTCTCTAGCTACTCTCCTCCAAAGATTGTTCCTTTTTTTTCTTTTTCGCCCGTCGAAAGTCGTTTCTTTTGAGGTTGTCGCATTAGTCGCCCGGATCAAGCTGCGTTTTTTGAGTTGTTGATGCCGTCTTCCTGTCTGAGCTGCTTCGATATGGATAGATCTGTGATTCAGGCTGGATTCGTTCTGGATCTTATCTTCTCTATCACGTCCTCCGTGATTTATTGCTTGCTCTCCGGCCGAATGGTCGAGCTCGGGTCACCAGCTGCAGTGCTTGCTTGATTTGATTGCTCTGTTGCGTGACTCTCGAACTTGTTGGTTTCTTGCTTTATATATTGCATCCTTTAATTTTTCAATGCTAGATCAATCTGTTTTTTTTTTTGGGGGGGGTGGTCATTTCATAAGGCTATGTTGTTTCGCCGTTCTAGTATTGCATTTTTTATCCTTCAGTTTGGCCGCTGTTCTTCTTAATTAGGGATGAAATCGAAATTCCCCTTTGCAGAATCAAAATCGACTCCTCACTTCCAATTTAAATTGACCCTAGCTGTTAGTTCACTTGATTCTTTCTTCTCTTCATCCACTGGGTATTGGTAGAATTTCCTTAGTGTGGGTGAACCTGTACCTTTCTCTCTCCTATGCTTAGTCGCCGGAAGTGGTGACTGGTGATCTTATTTGTTGGGTGGTCGTTTATGTAATCTTTTTTGCAAGTAGTGTGCCGATAGCAATTGAATGCTCTGCTGCTTCTCAAAATCGTTTAGGATTTTTTTGTGTCCACGGCAAGATATATTGATGGTTCCGTATTCTTGGTGCTTTTCAGGGACGTCCCAAGGGTGTTATGCCCAAGTATAGCTTGAAGCCCCTTGTGCCGAGGCTATCTGAGCTCCTTGGAGTGGAGGTTTGGTTCTTCAAAACTGCGGTCGTCTATGTCGCTCGACTTTTTTGCTTTCATTCCTTGATCATCCTTCTTGTTGCCATTGTCCTATATATATATAGGTTAAGATGGCGAACGGCTGTGTCGGGGAGGAAGTTGTACAACTGGTTGCTGCGACGCCGGAAGGAGGAGTTATCCTCCTTGAGAATGTTAGGTTTCATAAGGAGGAGGAGAAAAATGATCCAGAGTTTGCAAAGAAGCTCGCTTCTCTCGCAGATGTTTATGTTAACGATGCATTCGGCACTGCTCACAGAGCCCATGCTTCCACAGAAGGTGTCGCCAAGTATCTGAAGCCCGCCGTTGCTGGGTTCCTTATGCAGAAGGTATGCATTTCATCTTTTCTGCTGCTTTGTTGGTACGAAACTTTCTAGCGCATCGTGTTTTCTTATTTAATTTGCAAAACTTTATTGTGCTATTTCAACCATGTAAATTAACATTCCTGAGATCTTGAGTGTTGATAATTTGTGATTCTAGGAACTGGATTATCTTGTCGGGGCCGTGGCAAATCCAAAGAAGCCTTTTGCCGCTATTGTTGGCGGATCAAAGGTTTCAACTAAAATTGGAGTGATGGAGTCGCTTCTGGGAAAGGTTGACGTGCTCTTGCTTGGTGGAGGAATGATTTTCACTTTCTACAAGGCCCAAGGTTATTCTGTTGGTTCATCCCTCGTGGAGGAAGACAAGCTTGACCTTGCAACTTCACTTCTTGAGAAGGCCAAGTCCAAGGGCGTGTCTTTGCTCCTTCCTACTGACGTGGTTATTGCTGACAAGTTTGCTGCTGATGCTAATAGCAAGGTTTGTGTCATTCCTAGCATTAATTTTTCTCGAAGGTTTGTCAAAACATCAAAGTTGCTCCAGAACAACTACACGTAGTCTAACATTTTTTTGCTAGAAAAAAAGTTAGTATCTCTCTCTCTCTCTCTCTCTCTCTCTCAGTGACATGTTGACCTGAAGTTTAATTTCAGATTGTCCCAGCATCTTGTATTCCGGATGGTTGGATGGGTTTGGATATTGGTCCTGATTCCATCAAGACATTCAGTGAAGCTTTGGAGACGACCAAAACCATCATCTGGAATGGACCGATGGGTGTGTTTGAGTTCGAAAAGTTTGCTGCGGGAACAGAGGTATGCCAATGTCATCTTGTTCTGACTCCACATTAATACTTTCTGTTGAATTACTAATGGAACTTGCAATAAGCACCACATTAATATTCCGTAAGAGCCAAAGATACCTCCGAGGATCTTTTACCATTTATTTAGCCGATAAGCTTCTTTTGTACATTTTGGCTGCTTTGCAGGCAATAGCAAAGAAGCTAGCGGATCTCAGCGGGAAGGGGGTTACTACAATCATCGGAGGTGGTGATTCCGTTGCGGCTGTGGAGAAGGCTGGGCTGGCCGACAAGATGAGCCACATCTCAACTGGAGGTGGTGCCAGCCTGGAGCTTCTTGAGGGAAAAACACTTCCCGGAGTTCTTGCACTAGATGACGCTTGAGCTCAAAGTTTTTCCCCCATCCCCATGCCATCTCGTAATTTTGGTAGTGCTTCTTCGTATGCTGGTTTATAACCAGGATGTTAAAACCACATCAGAGCTCCTGCTGTCAATGGACTCAGAATATAATAAGCAAATTTTGTTGGGCAAATTTTATGCTGCGTTTGTCGGATGCAAATTCTCTGAATAACAATGAACTAGCTACGCGAGTTTTGTACAGTTGCTTGTATCTTCGGGGATTGAAGGCATTTAAGAAGCATCCGCTTGTTTTTCTACCTTATTTCATTTCCCATTGCCTATATCTTGCACCCAGAAGGATGTTGATAGCAAAGCTGGAAGAGCAATCCTCTTTACCCGGTGTGTTTAGCCTTTGCCACTTCTATCATGGGTGTTATCCGGATCTTCCTCTTTCATCCCTTCTTTGCATGCATATGCCTTTTCAGATGTTTCTCTTTCAATAGCAGTAGAAAGATTTCGAGTTATCGTGGACTTTTTGTAGCATTTGTGATCGGCAGGTAGTTGTTAAAGGAGCCATATCAGGAGAATCATACTTCGTTGCGCATGTTCAATGAGAAAATATTGGATTTCTAAAGAGTATTGAGTACACATGTTACAATGGAAATCACGCATTGGAAATAGAAAGATGTTTGGCTACTTCTCGGGGCACTATTTCTGTTAAAAACTAGGTATCTTGGCCGAACTCGGATACAAAGTCACTTCGTCCTTAGGTTGGAAACAATCTCAGTTTCTTGTTACAGACTAGTCAAGAAGAGACCGATGGAGGTCAGCAAGTAAGATGAGGGCATCTATAAATTTCTGGAGAGAACAGAATAGAGCTCGTCATCGAGCCACCTCAACCGATTGATGAATTTTAGGACGGCCAAATAAAGGTAAACACGTCTGATTTTTTTTTTTTTACGACAAAACATCAAATTTCATTACTGGAGAGAAGCCCGCGAAACAGTTCAACCGCTTCAGAACAAAGAAGGTCCCACAGGGCCGGGGGGATTTACAACCCAATTTTGTGGTATTCTACTCTTTGCTCTGGAATTACAAGATGGAGCAGCTCCCATTGTCCCTGGAAATGACACCTCAAATGGTCAATCAGACAACAGAACACATTACAGTCTGAACACATGGAGTACACGATACTCACCTCTTCACGTCTCCGTAGTTACTCAGAGCTTCCTCAAATTTATGCCACAGTGGGCCCGTCTCCTGAAGATTCACATTCTCCGGGCCACCAAGATATGCTTGAACAACGAACTGAGGGGTTCTTTCCCTGGTTCATTGTCATCAAAAGAAGCACGAGTTGGTGAAACACGTACTTCTACAGAGAAATGAAGTATCCAATTCTTCCAATTATATTTTCCATAATACTACCCACCTGCCTTCGTATTCTGATAACCAAGCCAAATAGGCTGCGCCAAAGTACATCGATACAAAAGGCCTGTGTAGATCATCGGCAGACTCAACTTTGTAAGCCTTGTTCCCCAACTCACTGTGCATATAATAGCAGTGACAGTTTAGGCGCTACCCTGGCATACCCAAGTAATGACAATACAAATTGTAATCCAAAAGACCGCTTTCTTATGTCTTCATATATATCAAGAAATCAGTGATTACTATTTCTAACTATGGTTTTGCCCGTCTGAGTTAATGTGAAGCTGAAATTAGTGTATTTTCCATAAGAATTAGGCGATGGCTATATGAGGTGAAATAACTTTGGAGACTGCTTTCAGTTAGTCTCTATGGTATGATTATTGGGCGAACCCTATAACGTTGATTTCGACTGAGGTTATTCAAGTCAACTTTAAATAAATGGGATGAAGCGAAGGTCCAGCTAAGCATAGACACCAGTTAATCGTACGCTCATTTTACAGAGCAATATGACATACTTGTGAAGCCATAAAGCTGTCGGGAAGTCCACTCCCATTAGTCCAGTACGTTCTCCAACACCATCCACAAAACGCATGCTGGCAACCTCCGCAAGAGCACATAGGACTGTCTGCAGGGAAAATTGAAATTCAGAAGTAATATATCCTGGAAAAAGGTACTAAACTAGTTGAACACTCTTGATATTCAACATGTAGCTAGAAAACCCAAGTAAGAAACAACATCCAACTCAACCCCAGAAGATAACATATTCACCACATCATACGAGAGTTGAGAGCAAGATTCAAGCTGGCAAAATTTACTAAAACAAAGCAGGGAATTTTTTCTTATTTTTACATGATACATAGTGCCTAAAACATGGGAAACCCTTTCTATCACTCTTTTCTATTTTCCTCTCTCACTCTTATAATTAAGCTGTGCATGTTTTTTTTTTTTTTGGGGTCAAAGTTGTGCATCTGCTTTCCCCATCCCTCCATACTAGTTTATGTCCGTTATATAGGCGTCAAGGAGCAAAACACATTTTTGCGGTGCCCAACAATTCAATTAAGCCATAAAACATGCTATGTCTTCATTTATAGCATGCTAACCATCGAGTAGATTCAGGAATGCTAGCCACACGATTCAAAGAGTTGATTTTTGGTTCCTCCGAAAAGCATAAAGTTGAAAAGCAAGTTTTCGAATTTATGGGGCTCGTGTTTTACCAGAGGAAAACCTTTCATTGGAATTTCATAGTCTCGCAGACAGATGCTTAACATGTTATACGAACAGAAGCTAAGAAAAGAACTTTGCTGTAAATTAATAGCTTAGTAAAACCTTTCATTGCCCCAAAAAATGAAATTAAGAAACTTCCTTTGATTTCGCGACGTTCAATACACTGCTATAGTCTATCAAACAAGAAAGCTTTCTGCCTCATAATCTGTATTAAGGACCGGTAAAAAATCAGATATTTGATGCCATGCTTCACAATGCAAAATCACAAACACAGCATCTCGCGAATAAGGCAGATTCTCAAGTTAAATCTTTTGCAAATTTCCTCCCATCCATGCATTTGATGTATCCACACTTTCCTCGACATATGAATCTCGCCAATGATAGTAAAGAACACTGACAAGGCAAGTGGAATCAACAAAAGGCATGCGGGCACAGACTGATAAGAAGAACTTATTATGATTAAATTTATATAGATACTTACAGGTTTAACTTTTCTTGAAGCAAAGTGTCTCAGGAGGATGACTTCGGCAACTGCCTGAAAGAAATTGGCACAACTTATTGAGGTAGTGACATGTTTCTCAATCATAGAAGTCCATCCTAGCAGTTAGCATGTCCGCCAAGATGAACGTACTGCAAAAATGAACAACCATATTGCTAAGTTCTATCCATACCCTCACTTCCCCACGGGAAAGATACGGTTTCTTAGCTGCATCATGTGAAAAGCGCACTTTTCCGCGTTTTTCTCCAGACTTAGTCCATTCTTTAACAACATCAGGGTGATTCCACATATCTTCCATATCTTCAGGAGAAGCCCTAGAGTCCCAATATGTATATGTGGCGCCTGCTTTTCCATTTTTAAATGAAAAAGTATAAGGAATGGAGAAATGATACAATACTTGTCTCCCCTAAGCACTTCACAAACATTTCCTTCAGTACACATTTAAGAATGTGAAGACTTTAGTAGCGCCTTCAACAGTTCATTAATTTCTGTAAAGTTAGGATAGCTGATTAGCAAAAAGTATGCCAGTTACTTATCACCGACAAATCATCCATTCTCTATGATAACATCAATTTCACTTAGATGTCTGGGTCCAATTTATAACAAGGACACAGAATTAATTTCTGGAGCTTCACAATATCGGAAAAGAAATGACACTTCTATTCAAAAAACAAAAAGAAACTAAAATGAGAAGAAAAGATTCAGACTTTCATGATTCTGAAGTGGCAGAACACAGCTCCAAAAAAGGGGAACATTGGAAATGTAAAAACTTCATTATTCGTGTTCTGTTGTCATATATATCATTTCAAGCCCTCGATTTTTTTTTTTTTAAATTTCTGGCCAGCGAATGCCCTGATAAATGTTACAAAGAGAAATATTAAGATGGAACTTGGAGTGTTTAAAAACAAAACCCATGCAATGAATAGTTTCAGCTGAAAATCGGTGGCTTAACTTGAAGAGACAGGAAAGATATAATTCGATGTAAATGAACTTCCGATATTTATAACCACCAACTTGCAGTAAAGTTTCTTCGGATATTTAAGCTAACATGAGAAGTGTAAGGATGCAATACTATTCTGTCAATTATGAGTGATAAAACACCACAACAACCTGTATCGGGTGCTGCAGGGACTACAAGGAAAGAAGGATCACTCATCAGAGCTCCGCAATCAAAAGCTTTTCTGTGGATCAAGAATTACAGGAACTTTAGCACAACATTTATGGCTGGCTGAACATAGTTCAAATTCATGCCTCAAGAATTATGCTGACAAGATTATAAGCAGTTAACTGAAGGGGCTAAATAAATCTAATAAATGCATTAACAGAGATGGAGCTTCCTCATATGACAGCAGTGCAGCCAATCCGATACTAAATTCTTGTCTTGTTTTTCTTAGTACAGGTAATTTCTGTTTTTAGGATGGGTGGAATAGGTAATTTGTGAATTCCATAATTAGCATCTTACTCCAAGCAACTCATAGTCCAATGAGATCTTTCATTCAACAATCAGAACCCTCACTGCAAGTTTTTCCTATGGTCAAAACAAAACTTTCACAATTATCTAGTAAGCTCGGTGAGACGCAACATTACAATGCGAGACACTTCAAAACGACAAAAGAACAAGCATTATTCACTCTAAGACCAAAATAATCCTAAAGACGGGGGCATATGGATGTCATCTTTGATCTGAAATCACACAAGAAGACAACTACGGAAGCTCCACATCACCATGCATTTTCAAAGTCCCTAATAGCAAAATGGTTGAGACATCTCAAGCGACTCTGCAAATTGAACCGACAACACATTGAAGATGATACAACGCACACAGTTTTAAAGTGAAAAAAGATGAAAGGAAGGACATATTACCTGGATGTAAATGTTTCTTTGACGGAAAGATACCGTTTCCAATATGGTAAAGTAGATTTATGCGTCGCTTTCTTTGTACCCCCTCTGTAGGCCCTGACTACAAACTCCTCGCTTCTTTCGCTGGAAGTTGAAATTTTATTGTCAATGTGTTGGCAAGAGGTCAGAAACCAAAATTATGTTCATGCCAAATGAAATGGCTATCAAGTCTACGGTGAGAGGAGAAACCATGATAAATACATAGAGAAGGAAGAAGAAACATACTTTTCCTCGAAGTTTGACAACCATTTTAGGTAGGCAGCAGCAAAGTAAACATTTACAAAAGGTCGATAGAGAACTTCTTCATTTCCTATCACTTGATATGCAAGATAGCCCTGCTCACTGAAAAGAAATTGTGCTTTACGTTTACGAAGACAAGCGAACTACAAACATGCAATTTTCGCCATATGAAAAAGGAAAGGAGAAAATAACAGACATGCCAGATTGGAAATTGGCGTGGGAGATGTAGATTCTCAGCAAAGTGCGATAAAAGGTTTGCAAATATCTTAGCATTGAAGGGAAATGAGATAAAGAAAATTGTACATGGAAATTATCTGTACCTATTCAACCACTCTGCAGTTTTCGGTAAAATCTGCATTATCCCCAGCGTAGTATCCTTCGTTTTCTTGTTAAATCTTGAAACAAGGATCTGTCTGTCACTTTCAAGCTCCGCAATGGCACAGATCATATCCTGCAAAATTCCACAACATCTCAATAAACTTTTAAAAGAAAAACTACTGAAACATACTTTTGATAGAAGAAAGCAATGAGAAAAACTCTATCTTGCAGAAGTTGCGGAACCACATCAAATAAGGCATACCGGATCAATCTTTGAAGAGAAATATCTACGGACAGTAATCTCCGCCACAGCCTGAAAGAACATCAACAAGGGTGTGAGGAAAACTGGGAAACAGGGTGAGTGACGAGGCATTTACATCCAGTAAGATCTATATTATTAAACATAACAGGTACTCCCACGTTCTGTTTGCTTGGTTTGGGGTGAATAACTATCCACCTACCACACTGATTCAAAGCTAGAGAGGTTATCAGAATTCCGCTTCTTCGAATAATTTTGGCATTTCCTTTCAGAAATCTTGAACGTGATCATTCATTAAGACAAAACAAGTTTGTGAAGCTCGAACTGAGGCTCACGACGTGCAGCTTCTCGTTTCCTAATCACACGACGTCGCCATTAATGAGCAACCTAAAGACAAAGGTAATCAAATTGGGTTTTACCCTCATCTCATTCTGAGTCAAATATTTCTGGCCATCAGGATCCCTGGAGAGGTGAACTTTCTGACCTCTGGTCTCTCCGGCATTGGTCCATTCGGTGCTGACGTCGGGAATCATCCACAGCGCTTCCATGTCGAGATGATCGACACAATCATCCCAGTACCTGAAGCTGATGCCCATCGCGAGGATGTAGTCAGCTGTTCCTCAGGACATCTAGGAACAAACAGAACGGATGAAGTTAGGTGTCGTAGAATCAACTCCCGTGAGCGCGTCAACTGACAGGCAAAACGGGTGCGGCGTAACGCCGATAACCAGATAACGGAGAGATGCGACGCGGAGCAAGAAGCCTATTCAGAAATTTGAAAAAAAACCAAAGAACGGAAGGGCAATGCAGGTACTGATCACTAGGTGTTCGATGAAAAGACGAAACGAAAATGCAGCAACCGTGGGCAACTAAGAATCTCGCATGCGATTACGCAGACACGAACAGAAAACGCGAAATGCGAGAGATAGATTGCGGAGGACGAAGGATCGTACCAGAGAGAGAGAGAGAGAGAGAGACCGAGGGAGAGAGATGAAGCGGAGAGCCAGAGCCTGATCGCGAAGGGAATGGAGGATGGCGGAGGGAGAGGCGGTGGGGGGAAGAAGGAAGAAGGAAGAAGGAGGGGTCGTCCATTCTTGGCGGGGTTCCTTCCTTATTTCTCTCCCTTACCCTCCTTTTCGGTTGGGACGGTCACGTTGAAAATTTTTGCTTTTCTAATCCGACTGATTTCCGTCGCTGGATCGAGTGAGCTGTCGGTTGAGATCATCAGATCATTCAGTGCCATCGTGGATTTAAGGGACGGATCAAAACGCTTTCTTCTGTTGAGATCTTCGAATCCCCCCGCATGCATTTTGGCAAAAGTATGTCTCGTCCATGGCTCGTTCGATACCTGGTATTAGATGGCGAAAGGGTGATCTGATAAACGAAACCATCAACCACGGCCCGGAGAAAATAAGGTTTAAAATATCGTGCTAGTCTCAGGGTCCCGAGGTTGTTAGGATTCGGAATACAATTACAATAAAATGGAGAGCAAAAGAGAGACAAGAAAATTGAGATACAAAATTTTTATCCTCGTTTGCCCTTAAACTAGGACTATGTCCAACAGAGCATTCCACAATAGAGCCATATCCCAATAGAGATTTTCAAGGCTTGACGTACTAAAAAATGATCCTAGAGAACATAATAAGATAAACAAAATTATACATGTCAGCACCGGTCACGTCACGTAGGACGGTCGACATAAACACAGTCAGCGATGTCGAGTCAAAATCAGCTGAAAAGACTACATTGGCAATTCGTTAAAACTAAATTGGCAAGTTGTTAAAACTAAATTGTTAAAAAGTTTATAACTAAATTAGCAAATCGTCAAAAGGTTTAGGATTAAATTAGCAAGTTATTAAAATGTTTATGACTGAATTGGCAAAATTAAAAGTTTAGGACTGAATTCACCGCCGTACAATAGGTTTAAGACTTCTTAGACCATTTTCCCCTTTGAAGCCAGAGATCCATGAGCTCAAGACCAAACTAATCTTGTGCAAGAAAGGTAACGTACCCATTCAAGTGGCACACAATACGGGTGTGCCGAAGCCTAAGGAATTAAAGGGCAACTGGTCCGCTAAAAGAGCAGACAACTTCATTTGGAGCATAAAACAATACTTTGGTGCCGTTGGCATTCAAGACAAGGTGGCCAAGGTAAGAAATGTCTCTATGGTCCTAACCGATAATGCCACGCTTTGGTGGCGAGATAAGTGTAATGAGACCAAGCGTGTTGCCGATCCCATCAACACATGGGATGATTTTGTCAAAAAGTTTTGGGATAACTTCTTCCCCGAGTTCCACCAACAAGAGAATCGCAGCAAACTTCATCACCTTTAACAAAAGAGCACAGTTTGGGAGTACGCGAAGGAGTTCACCAAACTCAAACTCCAAATTCCCAACTTAGGGGAGAAGGAAGCTCTTAGGTCGTTCATGGATGGTTTGAAGCCTCGACCCCCACTCGAGCTCAAACGATGGGAAATCCGAAGTATTTCGAAGGCACTCACTATAGTAGGGTCTCTTGCCGACTTCACCAAACCCAAATCTACCAAGTCCAGAGGAAATGGGGGGAGAACGGTCCACTACAATGAAGACGAGGAAGGCAAAGTTACCTGAAAAAGATTATGGGAAAAGGACCTTCCAAACAACCCAACCAAAAGTGGAACCGACCCCAAGTGACTCCCACAAAGAAAGGGAGAAGAAGTCACCACCAACCCCTTGCTTCTTTTGCAATCGTCCCATTGGTCCCAAGATTTTCCAAAGAGGAATAAACTCAAGGCATTGCTTGCCATATACGAAGAGGAAGAAGCACAGCAAGAGAAGAAAGAAGTGCGGCTCGGAACCGTAAAGATTTAAAACTCCACAAAGATTCAAGTTCCGCCTAAGAAGCCTCCAATAAGTTTGCCATCCGTGGAAGTCAAGTGGTTGACATGGGTGCGTCAACACATGTTTTTGTCGAGCGAAGCAACGAAGAGTTTAGGACTTCGAGTAGAGCCAATTGGACATCAGTTCAAGGTGGTCAACCCGAATTATGAACTGGCAGTTGGCATTGCTCAAAAAGTGGAATTACACGTCGGTGATTGGAAGGACAAATTCTCTATCGAGGTACTTGATGAATATGATCTTATTCTGGGTTTAGAATTATTTGATACCACGAATGCCATGATCGACACGAGAGACAAGTCAATTATGATCACCAACCCGAAATGCCCATCGATGGTACCAATGATCTTTGGGTTGACGGAGACTCAGAGCATCTCCATGATATGACTCGCGGATGAAAAGTCGAGAGTTAAGAAATTCATAGCTGAGTCGAGAGTGAAGCCACAATCTTTGAAGGAGCCGAAGGTGGAGTTGGGGCGATCTATGCCAGCTCAAAGCGAGATGTCGATTCATGTGCTTTTTCCGGAAGTGGAGAACTTGCCAAGCAACATGGAAGTGGCCGAACCAAAAAAGGAGTTGCTTGTGAACCGAGTTGGGATGCAAGAGCCGTGCGGTTGACAAAGTTACTGTATATACTGTGATTGGATAGGGCATGATGATCCAAGTAAATTATTTGCTCCAGCGGTTAGATAATGTTATAGGACTATAATCCAGGCAACTTCGAAATATTTAAGCCAAAAAACAACTATTTTCAATGCGTTGGCAAATAGAAAAACGGAAGTAGGACTTTGGGATTCATCATCTCGTTATTGAGGGACGTGTCTTTGGTTGTCATCGTGGTACCTAATCAAAGCCTCACCATGCCTCACCATCCTCGTCATGTCTCGCGTCCATCACGTCAATTCTCATGCCCCCTGCCCGTGATCGCAATCATCACTTGATTAAGACATTTGCGATGTAAACATAGACAGCACTGATTTTTTTTGCAACCCATCGAGAAACATTGCGTGTCTTCATACCTCAATTATGTGGTGTCCACTTAACTCGTAAAGGACCATTCAACAAGCCAGCACGTCACGATCCCCATGACCGTTTGAGTAAATCGGTGAAATTAGGTCGATCGAAATTGAACAATAAGAAGGAGAACCCCTATAACTCTTTCGAGGATAAATTTAGTTATCGGTATCTTTGTCCACGAATTAAGGTGCGTAATATGATATTCACACAAAACTTAACATTTCGAGAAAAGGAACAGCAACATTTTCGATTCCTTTTTTCTTTGTTTGATCTTTAAAAAAGAGTTGGGTTCATTCTAATTAATTTAATAATATAATGTTAATCACGAAATGAAATACTAATATGAATGTCGGTGTCAACATAAGTAAGGCCATCAATCACATCGATCCAAACGATTTAATTTAACAAGATAGGTTACTTTGGGATACGCAAGTTGAATCTAACTATGACCAATGTATTAATGTGCCAGTGAGTCAAAACCATTACGACACCAATCTAATTTACACTATGCCATGCCTATTCAAGTTTGAAATTGTCACCCTGCAATGGAAGTATATGTCGAAATCGCAATTGCGCCGATTCGTTTAAGACTTTGATGAAGTACAGAATGATTTTTATTTTTTCCGTCAAAAATCGACATATTATTCAAATTAGGGAAAATTCCAATTAAGGACCCCAAGTGGGGTCCTTTTCTCAAAAAAGGACCCAAAGTGAATATGGTGTCAAATAAGGACCTGAAGTGCCCAATCAGTCTCAAATAGGGGTCCGAAGTACTCAATTTGTCTCAAGTAAGGGCCTGGGTTCGCCGGCCGGTCAAATCTCGCCGGCCGGCGAGCACAGTTACTGTTCCGGCAATCGGAACAGTACATTTCATCTCTGTTTTTTTTTTCTTTTTCTATTTTTTGTCTCTTCCCTCCGCCGGCCATAGCCGGGGCCGGTGGAGGTCGCCGGCCTCAGGTGGAGGCTGCCCTCGCCCGACGCCGGCGAGGGTCTCCCTCGACTAGGCTGGGCGGGCGAGGGCGACCCTCGCAGGCGGAGGGAGAGGGCTCGAGCTCGCCGGCCATCTGGGCGAGCTCGGCCGGCGAGCTCTGCCCAGATCTGGGCGAGCTCGGCCGGCGAGCTCTGCCCAGATCTGGGCGAGCTCGAGCTCACCGGCCATCCGGGCGCGACCGGCGAGCGGGCTCGCCGCCATCGAGCTCGGGCGAGCCGGGCGAGCTCGAGCTCTGCCTGCCCTTGCCATGGCGGGCCTGGCGAGGGCGGAGCTCGCCCGCATCTCGGCGAGCTCGCCGCCGAGCTCGCCCCGTATGGCCTGGCGAGCTCGAGCTCCCGCGGCCTCGCCGAGCTCGAGCTCGCCGGCCATGGCACCCTCCCCCTCCCCTTCCCGCTCCAAGTTCTCCCCACGGAAGCCCCCGTCGGAGTCCTCGGGCTCCGCCGCCAGCCCCGCCCCGCCCGATACGGCCCTCGACAACCCGAATCTCGAGCCCTTCCTCCTCAAGCTCGCGCGCGACACCATCGCCTCCGGCGACGGCCCCGCCAAGGCCCTCGACTATGCGATCGGAGCAAGGCCGGCCTCCTCGAGCTCGCCTAGATCTGGGCGGAGCTCGCCATGGCCGGCGAGCTGGAGCTCGCCCAGATGGCCGGCGAGCTCGAGCTCGGCTGGCTCGGCGACCGCGATCGGGGAAGAAGAAAGAAAAAAAAAAATTGGACAAAATTGCCCCTATTCGATGTCGGAAATGTCGGCCGGTCGCCGACCAGAGAACATTTGGCCGGCCGGCGAGCTCAGGTCCTTATTTGATACTAGTTTGGCATTTTGGATTCTTAATTGATACTTTATTCACTTGAGGTCCTCTTTTAAAAAAGGGCACCCACTTTGGGTCCTTATTTAATAATTTCCCTTCAAATTAGAAAAAGTTATGAAGAAATTACGAGTCAAAATTTAGATATTCGCGACAGTGAAAAAGGGGAAGTGTAAATACGTGCGGGCAAGACCGTATCATTAATGGGGGCAGGGACAAGGACAAGTGAAGCCGCGACAGCGATCGTGGTCGGGAGTCCGAGAAGAGAAGGGTGAAAGGGGACATGGCGGGGGCGGGGGCGGGGGCGGGGGCGATGATGACCGATGATGATACGAAGGAGCAGCAGAGGTGGGTGGGGGGCACGTGCGGTGCAAGCGGGAGGGTATCATCGGCCGGTCAGAGTCGTTTCGATTCGATGGGGACGTCCATGTGCGTTGGCCTTCTTGGAATTCCCCGTCCGTTCCACTTTGTCCTCCCCGCCCTCCCCCTCTGAATTTCCAACTTTTTGCCCCTCATTCGTTTTTAGAGAGGAAGAAGGACCCAGTTGGCATCTCGAGAATTGTTTTGTTTATTCTTTACGATTATTCAACTATTTCCACCCCCTGTTTTTTGGGAAGTTCAAAGGTCGGACGCCATAGAGGATTCGAATAAGAGAAAATAGAAGAAGACGGGGAGGGGTGGTGGAGCACGCGTAGCGTGAATGAAAGACAAGAGAATGATAAAAAGAGGTGGGGGTAGTAGGGCCGGTGTTCATCAATTGAAAAACCAAAAAAAGACCAAGGAAGAGGAAAAGAGCCCCGAAATATTTGATTTGACCGAAAAGGGCCCCCCTGAGCTGGTCCGACGTGGCTTTCGAGGAGCTGTGAATCCACCCACCAACCCTCCCTGCCTCTTTCGCATCGCGACACTCTCACCGACGTCGTCGTGACCCACGCACGCACGCCCACCTCTCTCTCTCTCTCTCTCTCTCTCTCTCGATCAAATACATCACGTGTCCCCTGTAGTAGTATTTTCCCCATTCCTAATTCTTTTTATGAATTATTTGGGAGAGTCCCATACGGTGTGCGACGGAGACAGGGGAGCCTGGAGTGCATAGGGAGACAGAGGAGTCTGTAGTTGCATAGGGAACTCCGCTCGCTGTTGCCCCCTGTTCGTAATTTAAATAGAGAGGGGGGGTGGGGGGGCGAGTCCCCGCGTGGCCGGTGCCTACCCTCGAAAGTCATTTCCTCCCATTTCCATTTTCGCATCTCTTCCGGTTTGAGTAGTTCAGGCTTCCGTTTCCATTTCTGTTGTTGGTCAATCTTTAGGGTTTTTCGCAGCCAACCTCGGAGGGAAGAGTCGCGAAAATGGCTCTGTCTTCTCTCCTCCGCTCATCCCCTGCCGCCGCTGCTCCTCCTGCCGTCTCCCACCTCTCTCCCCTCCCTTCCGATCCCTTCAAGGTCTCTCCCTCCCTCTCTCTCTCTCTATCCCTCTCTCTCTGACACGCACGCACAAGCACGCGAGACGGATCATCATCATCATCGTATGCTTTGATTCGAGCTCAGTTTTATTGATGCTTTCTAGCCTGTCTTCGTTTGATTTTCGAGAAACCGGTCTTCCGAGGTTTTGTCACCTTTGATGTTGTTCGAGCTCAGTTTTGTTTATTTGAGCTGAATCTTTAGCTTCCTCCCTACTCCTTTTGCCTGTTGGCAGCAGCAACCCAGCTGCTCGGAACACATTCACCCCCATTGTGAATTTTGCGATTCCTATCCCTCTCGTTTCCACTTCTTCTTCTTCTTTTCAATTTTTTTGCTTTTTGATGATGCTATCTTTCCTCTGCATTTACTGTTGGATTTATGGCAGACGCTGTCTTCGCGTTCCCCCTCCCGGCTTCGCCTTCTTCTTCTTCTTCTTCTCCTAAATGTTGGGAGATGGCTTGTCCCATTCAGCTCACCAACTTCAACCCCTTGTTTGCAGGTCTCGCCCAGCAATGTCAACCTTTCACGCCTTCACTCCAGCTTCACCGGCACTCCTGTCCCCACCGGATCCATTTCCTTCCAGTTGAGTCTAATTTTTCTTCTCCTCCTGTTTAATTTCCCGCTCCCGGTCTTTTTTCCTCTAATAAATGTCGCTGGCTCATTTTTTGCCCCGGAAAAAAAAAACAAAAATTTATAGGAAATGCTCTGCCAGGAGCATTCAGCCTGTTAAAGCTACAGCTGTTGATGTGCGGCCTATTGTTCCAAGTAAGAATCCTTATAGCATATATCTCGACTAGTTTCTCCAAAATGGTTTTGATTGGATCGGACTCTGAGGGGTGATCATTGTCGTGCAGGATCGGATCGCAGCAACAAGACAAAGATTGGAATCAATGGTATGTTCCGGGGCTGATAGGAGTCATGCTAAGTGGTTACTGTGCTTTGCCTGTAATCTCATTCCATGCGAAATTGTCTGCTAGTAATTATATAGAGGGCGTTCTGGAATTGTATTGAAACTGATACCATAGGGATTGCAAGATAGGGGCTGTTTGCAGCTGTTCTGCATACATCAGCTCAAATAGAAGAATTTGTAGTCGTTGCCCGAGGAGTACAATTTAAATGAAAGTGCTCTGGTGGAAGTGTTTTTTGAGCGTGGCATCACATTCGTGCAGGGTTTGGTCGGATCGGAAGATTGGTGCTTCGGATAGCAACCTCCAGGGATGATATTGACGTAGTAGCTGTCAATGATCCTTTTATCGATGCTAAATACATGGTATGTGCATTTACCTTATTTATAATGCAAATTACTGATTCCTTCAAGGAAATGTCATGTGGTTCCCCTCCTCCGCGTGATTGAGCGGTTCTGTTCGTGATAGCATTAGTGTTGCGTTACTTATGTGGTATATGGATGTTTTAATCTTTTTTGTGCTTGTTATTTGGCAATGGACTTGGATCATCAACTGCAGTATTCTAGAAGTTTTTGATTTGCTGCTAGTCTTGTTTCTGCTGAGCTTAGAATTGGGAAAATGATTGACTTAACCATTTGTTTAAGCAAGCCAGATTATTGTTTTTATTCAATGAATGTTTCATAACTTAACTTAAGCTACTGCTGACTCATCCACCATGCTTAGGTGAATGTTTAAATCAGCCTTCAAATGGAGGCAAATAAAACTTTATCTTTTCCTGTGTCGGCTTTGCTGTCATGTTAATGTCTACTAGTCAGCATTACCTCAGTTTGCTTTGCCTTTTGAAAATCATCCAAAAATAGAATGTATAGCTGACGCTTGTGGTATTTGTGCATGATTAGCAAGCTGAAAGAATTTGCAAGCTGTGGAATTTGTAATCGTTGGAGGGATATCCATAATACTTTATGGTAGTCTTTTCCTTGAGAAGATACTGATATTTCTTTTATCAATCTATCCAGGCTTACATGTTCAAGTATGACTCTACTCATGGAGTTTACAATGGAACAATCAATGTTATAGATGAGTCCACCTTGGAGATTAATGGAAAGCAAATTAAAGTTGAAAGCAAAAGGTGTTTTCTTACTCATCCGAAGAATTTGTTTGTAGAAAGTTCTCTTTTGCAAATATCAACATCTAAACTTACAGCTGGAAGGGGTAAATTTTGACATTTCTTTCCTCTCAGAAATCCCGAAGAGATTCCTTGGGGTTTTCATGGGGCTGAGTATGTTGTTGAATCCTCTGGAGTTTTCACTACATTGGACAAGGCTTCCACACATTTGAAGGTCACTATAATCATTTAATTTGCTCTGTGCGCGCGCACTCGTGTATGTGTGCGTCTATGTTATAGGGTGATGGGTATAAACACCTTGACTTGAGCCTGCTGATTATTACTGCAGGCTGGCGCCAAGAAAGTGGTTATATCAGCTCCTTCAGCCAATGCACCTATGTTTGTGGTTGGAGTAAATGAAAAGACGTACAAGTCAAGCATGGATATAGTTTCTAATGCAAGCTGCACAACCAATTGTCTTGCTCCTCTGGCCAAGGTTGGTTTTCATGCTTCCATAAGTTATTCCTGCCTTTCATGTCAACCTGGTGAAACTTGAATAATGGGCAGCTGTCTCTGGAATATTCTCTCTCCGTCTCTTTCTAACCTGTTATCTTCTCTGCAGTGGATGCGGCTCACATCTTGGCTCTTACTCTGAGTCAGTCTCTGAGAATTGGTTCATACTAATATTGATTGCTGTATTAACCTTTTCGGCAGGTTGTTCATGAGGAATTTGGTATAATTGAAGGTTTGATGACGACTGTACATGCAACTACAGGTACTCCCATTCTTCCCTCCTGCCTCTCTGATGTTGGACACCATCCAACAAGGTTTGAAGGTAGAGTTCTTGCTAATAATGATGATTTCTATTTTTCAGCAACCCAAAAGACAGTGGATGGTCCTTCGATGAAAGATTGGCGTGGGGGCCGTGGAGCTGCTCAAAACATCATTCCCAGTTCCACTGGTGCTGCAAAGGTATATGATAACTGGAATTTCTTGATGAAGATATAAACAGATTCTAGATTTCGTGAGATTTGGATCATTGTGGGGTCAATAGTGATGATATTGTTCTTTCCTTTTCGGATAGGCTGTTGGAAAGGTTCTTCCTGAACTCAACGGAAAACTCACTGGGATGGCTTTCCGTGTCCCAACTCCTAATGTTTCTGTTGTTGACTTAACTTGTCGACTTGAGAAGAGTGCTTCTTATGAAGATGTGAAGGCAGCTATTAAGTATGTTGATGATTTTTCCCCCTTTTCTACTAGTTGATGGTTTTAGTTGAGGAAAGTCGCTTTGAGTAGTACTATAAACATCGTCTTGGATTATTCAAATGAAGGTATGCATCGGAGGGTCCACTCAAGGGCATCCTTGGATATACAGATGAGGATGTTGTCTCAAATGATTTTGTCGGTGATTCCAGGTATTTCCATTTTGCTTTCCTTCCTCTCCCGCCCACTTCCCTCCATCCCTCTCTGTCAGTGGGTGTTAGGGCCTTGCATTGCATGCGCATGTTCTTGAGGGGGATTGGATATTCTGATTTCTTTTTTACAGTTTTACATCAAGGAATGTGTGCTCCTTGTAATCAATTGAGTGGCTAGCTCTATTTTTGTTGCTCGCCTTGTTGGAACTTGCCAACTTAAGAAAGATCTAGTCTCACAGTGGCACGGAACTTTTAAACTTGAGCGAAGGTCATCTTGAATGTTAGTTTTGTTATAAAAAAAAGATGGTGGTTTATAAAGACTAAAAGGCGAATCTTGTGTGTTGAGACAAGTTTACAGTGTCTATTTTTCAAAAGATAGCGGCAAAAGTGATTGATTTTGTCCACGTTTTCGTGAGTTTTATAGCTGCTTGATGCTTTTCCTGCAGATCAAGTATATTCGATGCGAAGGCAGGTATAGGTCTAAACAACTCTTTCATGAAGCTGGTTTCGTGGTACGACAATGAATGGGGGTACAGGTATATATCTCTCCATCTCTGTTTTTGTTCTTAGTATTAAGAAGTGGTGAGGCAATACAAGTGAACGATTAATGTTTTATAATGTCCAACTAGCATATGTAAACTTTTATGGCAATTTGACCTTCTTACAGCAACCGAGTCCTAGACTTGATCGAGCACATGGCGTTGGTTGCAGCCCACAAGTGAATGATGAGTGGTGCTACCTAGTGATCTGAATTTGCGGCATGCTTACTTCATTTACAAGAGTTATGATGCTCCATTGCGATTTCCGATTATTCAATACAAGCCTGTATTATCTTATGGACAATTTTACTTGAACAGGATCTGTTCTATAGTTTCGTACCTCTGTCTGGAACCGGGCAGTTCATGGTGCCTTCAACATAATAACGAATCAGATTTTTTCCCCTTTTGCTGGCAATATCTACTTTGCTGGTTTTTGTGTTTTAAATGCTTGGGCTGGCATTTATTCTTTTACATGATAGTGGTCTTTGCTATTTTTTCTATTGAAACATGGAGATCAGCCGATATGGTCAATGTGGTCCTGTGCCTAGATATAAATTCAGTGAAATAAGAACTCCCTTATTTGTTTTTGATAAGCGAAGAAGTGCATTGGCCTGAATGTACAGGCGTTTCGTGATATTGCAACGCTAATGAGACGTTGCTATCCGTAAGAGAATCTGTGTTGCATATAAGGATTGAACAGTAACACGGGTTTCTGTTGGATTACGCAAGAGTGTTTAGTCACGTGATCTTATTTGACCATGTTTATCTATCTTATTATAGTCAGTTGTTTGTTGTCCTAGTTTTTAGGAATCTGTTTTATAGTGGTGCTAAACATGGGTTTATGTTTTACCAAGTCAGTAGGTGGTTTCTGCACGCTGCTGTTTTTAGGAGTTAGTGGATGCACTTTTTTTCTTAACCATCATGTATTAGCTCTTTAAAAGAGCATCCGTTGTAAGCATTCTGTATTTTTAAGAAGTAAGAAATAGACTTACTTCATTGCATATTGTCAGCTTTCTTTCTCTTTAATACTGTAACAGATTTCTTACTTCTTAAAAAAATAGAATGCTTACAACGGATGCTCTTTTAAAGAGCTAATACATGATGGGTAAGAAAGAAAGTGGATCCACTAACTCCTAAAATAGCAACGTGTAGAAACCACCTACTAACTTGGTCAAACACAAACCCATGTTCAGCACCACTATAAAACACTCCTAAAAACTCGGACAACAAATAACTGACTATAATAGGATAGATAAATATGATCAAATAAGATCACGTGACTCAACAATTCCTCCCTTAAATTGAAAGTTTGCCAACATTCAGTTTAATACAACTTGTCAACACCAAGCAGGTTTCTCAGCTTTTGAAATGAAGCCAATTTGAGGGATTTAGTAAAAATATCAACAACTTGATCTTCACTTCTACAGTAGATGAGATCAATGACTCATTCCTTTGTGAGATCCCTTAAAAAGTGAAACTTCACATCTATATGTTTGCTTCTTCCATGTAAAACAGGATTTTTGGAGAGCTTTATTGCTAAACTATTGTCACAATAAATTGCAGTAGGTCCTTGACTCTTGAAATGAAGTTCTTCAAGAATTTTCCTCAACCAAATAGCTTGACAAGCACATGAAGTTGCGGCAATAAATTCAGCTTCAATGGTTGATAAAGTGACAATCGGCTGCTTCTTTGATGACCATGAAATAACTCCCGAACCCAACATAAATACATATCCGGAACCCAACATAAATACATATCCGGAAGTGCTCTTTTTATCATCTTGATCTCCAGCATAATCACTATCAGTGAAGCCCATCAAGCTTGAGTTTTCTCCCTTCTTGTAGAGTAGTCCAAAACCAGTCGTACCTTGCAAGTATCGAAAAATTCTCTTGGCAGCAAAGAGATGCATCTTAGTAGGATTCTTCATGTATCTGCTTATAAGACTTACAGAATACATTATATCTGGCCTTGTTGCGGTCAAATACATTAAACTTCCCACAATTTGCTTATACATAGTGCTGTCAACTCTCTTTCCTTCAGAATCTTTCACTAACTTCAAACCCGCCTCAGTTGGTGTGCTAGAAGGATTACAATTCTTCATTTGGAACCTATTTAAAATGTCTTGCACATATTTTCTTATGAAATGAAAATTCCACCAGCGAATTGAACAATCTCTATCCCAAGAAAATAATGCATCTTTCCGATCCGAGATCAAATTCAAATTGCCAACATTCACTTTGCCGTGGTTTCACTTTTGTCATCAAGCTTGCTCCTCTTCCGATCTGGAATGTGGGCAAATGCTATGCAACCGAAGATTCTCGAAATGCTCGACACTTGGTCTCAAGGTCCGCTCCAAGCTTCTTCAGCGTCGAGGTTTTGAACATAGCAAGTGTGGGGCTTCGCTTCAATACATGAATACATGAATGCTCCAATTGACAGCTTCAGGCCAAAAACTTCTTGGGACACCATTTCTTGCCAAAATGGTTCGTACCATGTTCATGATCGTGCGATTCTTCCTCTCTGCAACGCCATTCTGTTGCGGCGTATAAGCTGTTGTAAGCTGTTTTTGAATTCCACGAGTCTCACAAAAATTTACGAATTCTTGTGAGTTATATTCTCCATCATGATCGCTGCGAAGAGTCTTTACAAGTGTGCATGCTTCTTTTTCGACTAGTACTTTGAAGTTTTTGAAAGTTAAAAAAGCTTCAGACTTCTCTGCAGAAAATAAACCCAGGTTTTCCGACTATAATCATTAATGAATGTTATAAAATAACGTTTACCACCGTTTGATGTCGGATTAATGGGTCCGCATAAGTCTGAATGAATCAGTTCCAACACCTTCTTCGCTCTACATGTTTTTCCTTTCGGAAACGGGTCTCGATGTTGTTTGCCAACAACACACTCTTCACAAACTTGAGAAGGACTTTGAATTTGCGGAAGACCCGTCACCATATTCTTTTGCTGCAGCGTTTTTAGACCACCAAAATTCAGATGTCCATAGCGAAAATACCACAACCAGGCTTCGTCCTTCAATCTCGCAGAGAAGCACCATCGGGTGGTGTTATCGAGATATAGTGGAAACATCCGGTTTGTTGTCATGTTGACTTGAGCAATTAAGTCCAACTTTTCATCTTGAATGCGACAAACTCCATCTTTGATAGAGATCTCATATCCCTTCTCTTGTAACTAACCAATGCTAAGCAAGTTGGTTTTCAAATCTGGAACAAAGTAAACGTTAGAAATAATCTGAGTAGAGTTCTTCTTGGTGTGGATCTTAACGTTGCCTTTGCCCATGACAGAAACTGAAGATTTGTCACCAAACGTCACAGTGTTACGGAACGATTCATCCAAGTTTGAAAATACAGACTTATCTCCACACATGTGATTGCTGCAGCCGGTATCTAAATACCACAAATTGTGATGAACCTCTTCTTTTGCATGACAAGCCATCAACAGCGACACTTCTTCTACTTTCTCTGCAAAATTTGATTTTACACCACGATTTTTGTTGAGATTGGTTCTACATTCAGATTTATAGTGGCCATACCTGTGACATCTATAACATTCAACATTTGACTTGTCTACAAACTTCGATTTGTTACCAGTTGAATAGTTGTTGTCACGGCATTTCGCTTTCCATTTGGAATCAGTAGCATGATCCTCATTTGATTTCTGGTGTGAAACTTTGTCCTTCCATCTCCCTTTCCCACGATCAGGACCTCTTGGATTGGCTACTGCCTTTAATGCTTGTTCCTCTTTATCTTGCTGGACAATTTTTTGCTCATGAACCAGCAAAGAACTCTGCAACTCGTCAATTGAAAGTTCATCAATATCTTTAGATTCTTCTATAGAACAAACAACGAAATTAAATTTCGGTGTCATTGATAGAAGAATCTTCTCGATGATGGTGACGTCATCAATCTTCTCGCCATGGATCCGCATCTTGTTAGCGATCATCATTGTTCTTGATAAGTAATCAGTAACGGATTCGCCGGTCTTCATGCGTAGGTTCTCAAATTCCGTCCGAAGCCCTTGAAGTTGCACGCGCTTTGCCCTCACGTTCCCTTGATACTTTTTCTTCATTGCATCCCAAATATGCTTGGAGGTGTCTTTGCAAAGAATTGTCTCCAAGGTTGATCGATCAATAGCTTGAAAAAGGTAATTCTTGGCTTTGAGATTCTTTAGTTTCAATGCATCTAAGTCAACTTTTTGTGTATCAGTCAATACCACTCCAGCCGCTAGTTCTGCTACTCTAGAATCAACGACATGCCAGTACTCTTTGGACCGCAGGAAATTCCCCATCAACATGCTCCAATGATCATAGTGACCATCAAAGTGAGGGATAGCTGGCTAAACGAAATTATCAGTGGCCATTGAGAAAAAAAAGATTGATGCTGCCTTCTCACAACCAGGCTCTGATACCACTGTTACAGTATTAGAGAGAAAGAAAACTGACAATATGCAATGAAGTAAGTCTATTTCTTACTTCTTAAAAAAACAGAATGCTTACAACGGATGCTCTTTTAAAGAGCTAATACATGACGGTTAAGAAAGAAAGTGCATCCACTAACTCCTAAAAATAGCAACGTGCAGAAACCACCTACTGACTTGGTAAAACACAAACCCATGTTCAGCACCACTATAAAACAGACTCCTAAAAACTAGGACAACAAACAACTGACTATAATAGGATAGATAAACATGATCAAATAAGATCACATGACTCAACAAAGAGTGAGTAATAGCAACATGAAGTTCCTAGTTTGACAAATGACTACTGTTGCTTGGGAAATTATCAGAAGCAAGAGTGCTAATGTTGAGTGGCACAAACTCGTGTATTCTCCCCCAATGTCCCAAGATTTGGCTTTATTTCTTGGTTAGTAATACATGATAGATTCCCTAATTTTGAGAGGATCGAGAGTTGGGTTCTGTTGGGAGTACTAGGTTTTTCTGTGCTTGTTCTGTAATCTAAGCACTGATGATGAACAACATCATCAGCAGTGGTATTAAGATCAGCATCATGCATCTTCATCTTTCAATTGTCTCCGTACAAACCATGATGCGTGATAGCCTTCCAAGTCAAATTATGATTGAGTTGAGTCTGTGCTTGTTTAAGGAAGCTCACTGGGCTTTGATACGCATGAAAGAAGCTCCGATTGGACGGGACAGCCAGATGATTTCTGGGCTTATCTTGTTTCTTATCACTTGGTTTTTACACAGTTGAGAATCTATTGATCTTTTCGGTGGATGTAAGGGCCCAAAGTAAAAAGGGATGAGGATGATGACAAGTCATCGTCTCCAAGAGCTGATACGATTCAGTTCAGATAGGGGTGAATCCTACGTCTCTCGTATTGCCCAAAGTCGTTTGTGAATTTTTATGTAATGATACAGATGCTGGGGGTATGCTATTCGAGCTATCGTTTTCCAGGGCAGGTGGATTAGTTGCGGTCAGAATGTAATAATGCTTTAGTTTATAAGGTAACAATGGCAAGTAACTGTCAAAGTCGGCGAGCGTGGATGATGAAGTAAGTCTCTACTCCCTAATCAAACCCCTAGAGGAACTTACTGCGCAATATCGAGGCGTGCCGATGCGGTTGCGATTGCTGTTTCCTCCAATGCTTGTATTGCTAGTCGTATTCCAATTGGCATGTCGTTTGGGGAGGAAGCTTCCACCTCTCCTTCCTTCCTCTCCCCAATTTGTTTAATGTGCGTGGAAACAAGTTCAAAAGCTGTGCTACCTTGTTTTTTGGGTGGCTCACGCCTTTCGGCAACCGTCGCAACTCTCCTTTTTAGACCATTTTGTTCGTCTGTTCGCTCCTATTTTCGTTTATTTCGCGAAAAATATTTTTAAAAAAAATATGCTTTCCATTTTCTGGCATTTGGATCGCTTAGGAGAATAGATCGACGGAAATTGTTTTCCTTACCAAAGCTTCAATTAAGGAAAATGATTTTCTATATAAAAAATTGAAAATTATTTTTCAAAATCTGATATAGGGCCGCGCCGCAGTAAGCTCACATCAGAGGTTGCATGCGGGCACCATCTAAGAGTTTTTAGAGACATCCAGGAACTTCGCCCTCAGCCACCACGACGCCACCTGGTCCCTCCTTGCCGCCCTCGCCTGTTTTTCTTCTTTGCCGCCCACCCGCACCCTCCGACGAGGATCACATCTTCGAGGCCATTAATGCTGCCACCAACGAGGGTTCTTCTCTTTCTCTCTCTACTGGTTCAATGAGATAGAGGGCGGAGGGCGTGAGGGACCCAGGATGACACGTGTCGTTCGTTGAGTGGGCCAGCCCTATGGTGACGTGAAGGGGGCCCGGCCTACCTAATATGTTTTGTTCAGCGTTAATATAAGTTCGGATCTTTAGCGCTAATGTCAACTGTGGCCTCACATCACCGACGAATCTTGTTGAATATATTAACGTCAGTCCTCGCCCCCGTTTGTTAAATCTGTGTACGAGAGAACAGATTCCAAAGCTGTATTCGTGACCTCACTGTTGCTTTAGCCATCAGAAGAAGGGAAGAGAATATATTCTCTCAAGTTTTGTAAGTGGATATGCAAACTTATTGAGATAGCGATATCGATACTTGTAACCCATCAATCGGAAGCATGTCTGAAGGGAAAATACTACAATATGGAATGAAACGGTTGATCATAAGCTTTCAATACATGCAAAATAGGAGAATTAATCATCAGGTACATTGTTGTTAGTAAAATTAGAACTGCTATTTCAACTTGAAGGAAAGAAACCGTTTTGTTGTTGCCGCCCGATCGCAATCGTTGCATGATCGCACGCCACCTGCGTCCGCCGGTCCTTGCTCAGGCAACACTTTCTTTCCTTTTAGTTTTATTCAGAACGTGAGTTGGGAAGCGAAGACCAATTTTAGAAATCTTACCCCAAATTTTGTTTTGTATAAAAAAAATCACAAAAATCCAATTTATTTTCAAAAATACATCCCATGATCCAGTCTCAACTTGATGTGGCACTTTCATGTCGACAATAAATCAACATAAACAAAGTAATGGGGCTTTCTTTTCGACAAAGAAAAGTTTAGGGCAAATTTGGACCGAACCTAAAAATTGGGTTTTTTTTTTTAAA